AGGGGGGGGAGGATGGGGGTCAGGTGAGTGTGGGGGGGAGGTTGGGGGTCAGGTGTGTATCTGTGGGGGGGAGGTTAGGGGTCAGGTGTGTGAAACGATGACTTAAGCAGGTATTTTTAAATGTAATATGGCCTATGTCGCTGAGTAAGCAGCTTACTAATGGTAAAAAGTGAAAGAATTTTTGAAATCGGTCATGTAATTTTTTGTGAAAACATTACAAACATACATACAAATGTAGACAAGAATGGCACACTATTAAACTATCATCGAACTCACCAGAAATCTCTTCATCTGTAGTGTACTCCGCTAATGCGGTCAGTATCCTTGGTAGATTGTTCTCCAAAGCTTCTACTATTAACGGAACCTCAGTTGTTTGTCGCACTATCTGACTTAGTTTGGGAAACAGTGTCTGCGCTTGCGTCCTGATCTTGCCAACACCAGGACGAAGCCAGCATTCTCCAAGGCATATTCGTGACAGAGCTGCGCGGATCCATCTAAACAAAAATAAATACAATTACCAATTGTATCCTGAATACGCATAATTAACTTGTTATATGTTTTCTTTTATATTTTCAAAAACAAAGCAATTGTTTTCTAACAAGACTCGTATAAAAGTGATTCAAGTTAATTGTTATTATTTAAATAAAAAATAATAGTTTTTCTACATAATAAGGACATTCTTTTTCAATAGATTAAACTATGTTTATGTTATGCCATTCAAAGAATAGAATTTATTTTGTTTATTTATGTTACATGTCACATTGAAACTATTAGTTGGAGCATAACCTATTAAAATACATTAATGCATATATCCCCAGGTGGTCACCAGTGACCGCTCTCCACTAACTACATATAGACCTTGTTTCCAATGTTTAGAGACTACTTTTGTATGAACACATTTAGGGCATGATTTTCAACAGGTATAGTGGCCCACCAAGTCAACCTACATTTTCAACCTTATTATTATAATATATTTATAGAAAAACCAACAAAAAATTGCCAAATTAAAACAGGTTGATCTGTTGGCCACAGTATTTTTCAAAAGACAAGTATAACTACAATTCATTTTTAATGATAAAAGGATCTTGTACGTACCTTGCATTCCTCGTACAATCTATCTGATTTTGCAAGACAATATTAGTTTTATGGGAATGGAACGCAAAACCTCCTACTACAGCTCTGTTTAGTGCTTCGTCGCCCACAAGGCGCACTTCAGCCTGTAAATAAATATAAATGGCTGAATGTTATTTAAACAAGTTTAAGGCACCTAAATATTTTAATTACGGTTTGGGTTTATAAAGAATAGATAATCTTATACTATTATAGCAGAAGAGTTTGTTCTTTTGTTCGTTTGTTTGAACGCGCTAATGTCTGTAACTACAAGTCTGAATTATTTTTGTGTTGGATAGTGCATTTATCGAGAATGGCTATAGGCCATAAAATATAACGCTACGTCCAATAGGAGCTGAGCAAAGCGTGTGAAACCATGTGGAAGTCGTTAGTTTAATTAATATTCTTATTGAATCACGACAATATTCGTAAGCCATGGAAAGGTATTGATAAAAGAAAAAATATTTTATTAACTGGCCAGTTTATAACCATTAATTATTCTTAAATTTATTTTCAAATCAATGATAATATCTACATCATCTAAAAGACTATTAAAGTGCATTAACCCATAAATTACCAAGCGGTCACCGGTGACCGCTTTCCACTAATATTACATTACATTATAGACCTTATTTGTAATGTTTAGAGACTACTTTTGTATGACCAAATTTAGGGGGTGGATTTCAACGGGTTAATTAGTCATTAGTAAAACTATAACTAGTTAGCACTGTATATAACTTCTGAAATGCGTAAATAACAAAAAGTTACCACTCAGTATCAATTTATTTGATACCTCACCAGTGCAGTAACTAATTATTGTATAACATTGTTGAATAATCCTTCACGCTATTTATTCGCTTAAAAACATTCAAGGTAACTTACGCTGTCGTTACTGGCTAGCAAAAGAAGCGTAGGGGCAGCTGAATGCAGCAAGTTTGCATAGTGACGAGCGCAGTTTGAACGGCTCCCCAAAGCTCCCAAACAACGACCGAGTGTCCCAGCCGCTGCCTGCAACTCATGACTCCTACAACCAAAACACACAGCATAAATCACACAGTTCTAGCCAAAAACGGAAAAATTATGCAAAAATACTCACTTCGCTGAGTTCTCATTTGCTTTTAAGAATTCCAAAGCCTTTTCAGCTTTCTCTAATACGTTCATGGCTCCTGTTTATCAGCCGCAATTCTTAGTACGTTTGTCGCTCATAATTACTATGATTTATTGTTTTATAAACGAATTTCTATCGCGAAAACCGCAAACAAAAATGAAGAACACCAATCGATAACCATAAAGGCGACGATTTGACAAGTTGTCACTGTCAGAGTCAATTGTTGATATTCCAATGAGATTAACGTTTAGTTTTTGTTCGGAAATCGACCATTAGTAAAAGATCAGCTGTGTTAAGTGTGTTAAAAATGTTAAAATGGTGAATACGAAAACAACTAAACCATGTTCATAAACCATTTCAAGTTATTATGATTACATATTATAGCTGGAGCTATAACTATTTGAAGAAAATTTATTTATTCTTGAATGGTTCTTCATCTTATTGTTTAATCGATTAATAACACTGTATCATATCAGAGCTCAGGCAAGAACAATATTTGACACTGATAGCAGTGATAGCTGATGATAGGTGATATTGATAACAAGTCTGTCAAAATACTTCGTATTTACTTCAATTTTACCCAGCAACAACAACCGAAAAGTGTTATTTCATTAAATTATGTCATCAGATCAAGATCCTAACGTTATGATTGGTTTAAAAAATGTATTATCGAAGATTGAAGCCGCTGTCGCCAGGCGCAATGCGGTGTGTAAACATTTGTAACAATAAGTACCTATTAAATTTTAATAATTACAGGCCAGGACAGGCATATGCTCATCATCATTTTTATTATCATTAAATCAACAAAATAGTATTCCAGACCTTAACTCGAACCTAACTATAATAACCTCTTTTTATATTACAGAATTTACCACAGATTGCACCAAGACTTGTGGCTGTATCTAAAATAAAACCAGCAGCTTTGATTGTTGAAGCCTATGAGCATGGACAGAGGGATTTCGGGGAGAACTATGTGAATGAATTAGCTGAAAAAGCCAGCGACCCCCTCATACTTGAGAAATGCAAGGACATAAAATGGCATTTCATTGGACATTTGCAAACAAACAAAATAAATAAATTACTTGGATCACCGAATCTTTATATAGTGGAGACTGTTCACTCTGAAAAGTTGGCTGATAACTTAAACAAGCAATGGCCTAAATATAGGAAAAGTGATGAGAAGTTACCAGTTATGGTGCAGATCAATACAAGTGCAGAAGAAGGTATCAATGTGTTTTTCTATTGTTTCATAATTATTGTTATTGTGTTTTTAACCTAATTGCCTCATATTTGTGTCTGACCATGACATTAGATAGCCCACAACCCTTATCTTTACTATCAAACAAAATGTAATCAGAAATGTTTTATTATTTCTAGGTAGTTCTAGAAATTTATTATTTATATACAAATACATAGTTAATAAACTTACATAACATAATTATGAATAAATATATACAACTTAAAATTAAGTAAAACAGTGAATATAATTATAAATACCGTCAGTTTGTGCCCTCTGGTCACAAGTAGCGTTGATTAGCCTACATATTAGATTGGGCTTGGACAGATTAGGCTATTTCTTTATACCATGGCCTAAGAGTTGGGACAATGGCTCAAAACAGTAGTGTTTTTTTTTTTGTGGCATTCCTACCTAAGCCGATGAACGAGCAGACAGATGGTAAGCAATCTGAGTCGCCCATGGACACCTCAAACTGCAGAGGCGATTTGAGTGCGTTGCTGGCCTTTTGGGTATTAGAAGTTCGAGAATTGTTGAGGATTCAGGGATTGAGGTGATTGGAAAGGGTAATTGGGCCTCCAGTAACCTCACAAAAACACGACGAAACATAATACAAGCATTGCTTCACGTTAGTTTTCTGTTAGGCCGTGGTATCATTCTAGTTGATCCGACCCATTTACACCTGCATATTATTATGTCTGACAATTTAATTTTATTTTTACAGCTAAAAACGGAATTGAGCCCTCGGAAACAACAAAAGTGGTAGAATATGTATTGAAGAACTGCCCCAATCTAGATTTTAAAGGGTTGATGACTATTGGACAATATGACTATGATGTGTCTCAAGGGCCAAACCCAGACTTCTTAACCTTAGTGAAATGTCGGCAAGAAGTTTGTGAAAACCTGAACCTTGATATTAACAATGTGGAATTATCTATGGGAATGTCTACAGACTATGAACATGCGGTAAATTCCCTTTCATTTAAACTTGGTTCTATACTAGAATTTTCTAGTTTTCTTTGAGATTGCTTACAAACACAATTTCACATGTACACATCACATTATAACATAACATCATGTTTAACCCCCACTGTACAATGTAACATCCACTATTCACTTTTATTTTATGAGGTCCCATGTAATAGGGGGTGAGCTTATTGTCATATACTGGGCACAATCCCAGCCTCCGTGCTACTACTAAGATTTTTTTTTAAATCCTAATATTATTTTTCGCGACCCGGCCAACGAGTCAGTCAATCATAATTATACAGACCCGAAATAACAATTTATGGACCACATCTAAAATTCCTGACGGTATAAACCCTTTGTTTTTCTATATTATTATGAAAATATGTTCAATCCAACCAAAAAAATAAATAAAAAGAAAAAAACTGCACAAGTTGTCAACTGAGTTCTATTATGATCCAGGTTCTGATGAGAATATAATTTTTTTAAAAAGCTGCAAATTATTTATGGCCATTCTCATTAACTTTTACGTTCATAAATTCACAACTTTTGAGTACTTAATTTATTTTTCAGATTGAACTTGGAGCTACAACAGTTCGTGTTGGATCTGTGATTTTTGGAGCCAGGCCACCGAAAGCAAATTAGTTCAATGTAGACAAAAATGTATATACTTAAACGAAATGTCACCTCACTAATATAATTAAATAATAATTTTTTATTATATCTGTATACTTAAGTTGAAATTATTACATAATATTGGGCTGTTATAATTAGAATAATTAAGTAAACGGGCTTCCAAACAATTTTATCGTATACATTATTTTAATTCTTTACCATTTTATTTTTATACTAGCTTTTACCCGCGGCTTCGCTCGCGTCATAAAAGGATAAAAAATAGTCTATGCAACATATACCAATACACACAGCGCCATCTATACCAATACTTTTGTTTTCCCTTGGGAATATCAATTTTTTCCGGGATAAAAAGTACCCTATTATTTAATCCAGACTTCTAACTTTACGTCTGCAATAATTCAAAGCAATCGGTTTAGTAGTTACGACGTGAAAACAGAACAAACAAACTCACTTTCCGATTTATAATATTAGTAAGGATAAGGATAATATTAACTTTCAGATAAAATTAAACCATTAACAACTAAATTAAGATATTTTTTTGACAATTATAGTAGATACCAAGATATAATCATTTTCTATATATCTATTAAAAACCAAAAAATAAGAAAAAAAAAAGCCATTTATTCCGCAACAACACAACAAGAATACACCCTAGACACAATAAAATCCTTCCTCTTTATAATATTAGTGTATATAGATGTTTTAAGTACCTTCATAATACACTTAATACGTATGCAGGTAATTGGCCCTACGGAAATAAAAAGCGTAATGTTGTGTTATATTTATACCGCCATAGGCTTGAGCCTATGGCGGTATAAATATAACACAATGGGGGTTGACCCCCATTACATGGGACTCATAAATAGTGAAAAGTGGGTGTTACATTGCACAGTGGCAATGTGCTTCTCTGCTTACGCCTTCGGGGCCAAAAAGTGTGGTGTGATATTATTATGTAAACTGGGATAAGCACGGTGACCCAGTTCACCTGAGTTCACTCGAATGTGTCAGGACGATCGTAGTTCCTACAAACAATATGTACACATCGGAGGAAAACTCAGAGTTACGCCCTCATGTAAAAAAAATCTAGCGTCATATACCTAGCTTAGACGCACGGAATTTCAAAAACTTTATGTGTGTATAGACATATTACACGAAATAAAATAAAGATAGCCAAGATCTCTTATTTTAAAATGTTGCCAGTTAGAAAAGTGACAGTATTTAATCTGTTGCCCGATTGAGTTGGCTCGATTTTTATCGGCTGGTTACTGGTAAGTTGAGTAACTTTCCGAACGCAGTGGTTGACGCACGCACGAGTAATCCGAAAATTATACAAAAAAGTTTATTTTTTTAACTTTATGTAAAAGCAACGTCGCAAAGTTACAAAAGGAAATCGTTAATTAAGAATTGTGTACTTTAAATATTCGGTTGTGTAATATTAATTCAGTATTGTTCGCCGTGTAGTGTTTGAAGAAACTTTGATTTTTGGTGTCAACAAGTTCACATCCTTTATTTGAAAGTTTATGAAACAAGGCCGTGTTGAAACGGTAAGGATAACAACTTTGAATCTATATTAAAATAATAATATTATGTGTAAATATATGACCCTATATCCCTGAAAACAACAATTCTAAAGAGAGATCATCGTGATTGTGAAGTTGCAATTTGTTACCTTATTTCGTTAATTCGTGAGAAAGTGTTACTAAATAATTAGTTTTAGAGATAGCTATTACGATTAACTTTATCTATGAGCCTATGTTGTAATAAACTTTGTAAGCCGACTGTTTGTCATGTTATAATATAGTTTTCAAAAATTAATTGTAGGCGAATGTAACATGTTAGTAGTTAAAGAACCTTCATAAAAACTTACTTATTAAACTTGGACAATGTTCTAACATCTTTTAACCCCATTCCTATAAATTCACTCTTTGAATTCTATTCACCCCACTTTACTACCGACATTCCAATAAGATTTATTTTTAATTTTGATCATTTAACCTGTCAAACACCGCGCGGTCACCGGTGACCACAACCTATTATTCTTTAATTGTGTCTATAATGACGGTACTCAACGATTTAAGTACTTGGATGATGGATGGATGATGGATCAAACCATAAATCTAACACTTGTCATAACACTAAAAAAAGTTTATTTTAATTACAATGACAATAAACCATTGATTAAGACAATACTTTTCCTAAAACCGCATCCAAATCAGTCCAACGAATAATGGGAAAATCACTGACATACATACTGATAAACATACATCTATACATGTCAAACCTAGAACCTTATTTTTGGAAGTTGATTACTAAAACATAATCAAGACACAATAATATTACTGTCTATATACCAAAAAAAAAAAAAAAAAATTGATAATAAATACTTCATAGTTAAGTTTAATGTTTTTATGCAAAGCATTTAATATGGGTGTGTATGTTCATCTAAGTGTAAGAACATACCACTTTCTACTTTCTAGCTTTGCATCATAAGTGAGCAAGGGCTGAATTTACAATGATTTTATGGTGTTCATTTAAAACAACTCAAATTATTATTATTTTTTTTTTTTAGACGTTGCCCCACACTAGGATTTTCTCCTGTGTCGTGGGTGCGTTTACAAACATACAAGTTCACATACACAATGACACCCAGACGCGGAACAACAATTTGTGGATCACACAAAGTGTTGTTCCGTGCGGGAATCGAACCCGCGACACGTTGCACGGCAGCCGGTTGCCCAGCCACCGCACCAACCGTGCACTCAATATATTGAACTCTACACCTTTTTCCCTTCATGGTGCAAGCAGTTATATAAGTTACAAATAAGTAAAATTATTGTGTACCATCTAACCTAAATGATTGCTATTTGAAATTTTGACTAAAGAAGGTTTTGTGTATCCTGTCCTTGTGTATTGGAGCCCCAACTTGAAGTAAGAGTAGGAATGGGACGGTTTTTAGTCAGTAAGAGTATGACACTCCCTCTTACCTCAGTTAAGGCAGGAGAAGTCATTTGATGATATTACTGCCTCAAAAAATGTCCCATGATACCTCAAGGGATGGTAATCTAGGTACTTACTCCCTAGCACACAAAATGACCCAATTAACTAACCTGTTTTCATCTCTGCCCTCATAAACCCATTTTGTTCCAAATTAATAAAAAAAATCTCTGGCATAATGCGAAATAACATAGGTAGGAACCTACTTTGTACAACTTACATGTTGCTAATTAATCTGATCTATAGGTAGTTACATTAAGGACATAAAAGTGTAAAATGACATTCAGAAGGTAACACATATACATATACAGTTACAAACAACAATTAATTAACAGATAGGTATGTATAGTGGATTTCCTTGAGAATATTTTGTTTTCCTTTCATTGTTTTGAACGCAGACTGCGTATAGACGTCTCAAGATCATACAGTCATACATAGAATAAGGTAGTTATGTTTAATACCTAGGTTTTCCAGTAATGGTTTCAGATGTGCCAGTTTTTTTTACGTTAACGCGATCGACACGTTTATGACGAAAAAAGCGCAAAAAAACCTTCGATTACGAGGTCATGAAAGAATCTGTTTTGCCCTCTGCAGAGGCAGATTGTACCTTTTTTTTTTTTTGTTGACGGGGGAAACCTTCCCAAGGCGCCTATCTTTTTGGGGAAAAAGACTAGGCAGTGTGAGATTTTTACCTTACTAAAACCTCCCCGGTGGCCACCATCCGCACTTGAAGGAGGCACGGGGCCTCTTAGTAGAGGCAGATTGTACCTAGAGAACGCCCTTTATAGGCTAGCATCTCATAGGCACTCCTATTTTCTGCCGCCGACACCACTTCGCAACGTCACGAGACGCGCGTGCCTCCCATGGGGAACCTGGAGCCCTAGGCACTTGCCTAGCTGGCCTTAGGGATAAAACGGCTCTGGCCCTCTGCTTTGGCTGCGTTATGCAATAAATTCTAAAAAGTCCTCCATATAAAAAAAGGAACCACCACTTCATGTTATTTTCTTAAATAGTTAACAATGATTAATTTGACCAGTCTTTCGAATAGGTGGAATTGCCAATCAAAGGTTTTTAAGCAACGGTGCGTGTGTTGGTTGGTTGGTGGTAGGTTTTTGCCAACTCGCATTTTGCAAGCGTGATGATTAATGCTCAAACCTTCTCAGTGCGAGAAGAGGCTTTTGGTCAGTCAGTAGTGGCCACTTATAGGCTGTTGATAATGATGATGATCTGCGTGTGTTACAAAACATGCTGTCACTCTCTACTATTCAATAACTAATTAAATAAATTCTAAGAAACTTGTGAAAACGAAATAAATGCCATTTGTGACCTACCACCTTGGAATTTAGGTATGTTTTTGATTACTTACCTACTATGTGGCCGTCATGGAAGTAACGTGACTACTTTTAAAATCTTTAGTGCAAGTGGATTTTAATGTATGAACAGGTTTTAAGTAGGTACCTAGTACCTTCAAAAACTACAATTTAGAGTGATTCAAGCATTTATTAGTGGTTTTTGCGAGACAGAGAACTTATCCCTCCTATTTGTTTTCTATAAAATTAGGTGTACAATGTAAGATGATAATATACACGTAGAACAAAATCATCCCCTTGACTAAGATCCATAAAGTACCTACTTAGCTACTAGTTATTACACAATCTTAGTCTTATGTTCTTCGCAATAAAGACCAATGTCCTCACATCTCTCAAAAAAAATGAAATTTAAAACAACTCGAATTTAATGGTTGCGTTGTTTGAAACTGTGTAAACCATTACCATTGTTTACTAGCAAGAATCCGTCACACTCAGCGCACCGGTTTTGTCCACAAACCGGGCTAATTTCTTTATCTTTTTTCCTATTTCGTAACTTAAACGTTAGTTAAACACCAGATTACGTATACGTTATTGTTAACGTTATGAGTTTTTTGTACTTTTTTCTCAGTGAAGAATGAAATCGGTCAAGTAAATTAGCAGAAGTATGATAACAGAGTTAGTACAGACCTACACTCCTACAGTATACAAAAATGTTGATAGAAATTTGCGGATACTGTAGAGGTGTAGAGTGACCGCCTTTTCTTATGTGAACCTACGTTCATTACAGTTATTAGTAACTTCGGAGCTTTAATGAAAAGGGCAAACAAAAATACAAAAGGTTGTAAAGAAGATAACTAACTTAAATAAAGTAGATTGAATAGTAAAAAGATTCGAGTTTCCTTTGAATCCTAAGCACCTAGTTCAATCAATGCAATTTTTTTTTTATTTCAAAAACGTTGCCCCACATTAGGATTTTCTCCTGTGTCGTGGGTGCGTTTACAAAGATACAAGTTCACATACACAATAAGACCCAGACCCGAAACAACAATTTGTGGATCACACAAAGTGTTGTTCTGTGCGGGAATCGAATACGCAACACTTTGCACGGCAGCCAGTTGTCCAGGCACCGCAACAACCGTGAAGTCAAATACTTAATGGAAGTCATGAAGAAAGGTCATAACTATTTATTGTCTAAATAGTTAAATAAAATTGTATCTACAATATTTATAATACACATCAGCCTGGGAGCTTAGCAAACTATTTCATTTGGATATCATCTCAAGATGGTGGAGGAATATCGTGAGAAAATCACACGTCAATTTATAAATTGCAGACATGCGCTGCCCAAGAACAAATGGATTGCTCCATTTGGACACAATTACTTAGACCAGAGATATGTTTAACGAAAAATACGGTTTCACTGAAGGCCGAAAAGATTATCAAAGATCCGGATATAACTACGTGCTACATAGTGACTGAAACATTGAGAAATTTTGAACTTGAATAAAGACTTTGAGCCTCAAATAAATCAAAACGTAATTAAATGAAGATGAAGAAAAGAAGTAAATATTCTTTAAAAAGCTTACACCAGAAGGCCAGTAAAAGAGCACTGGACAGTGACTTAAAACATAAATAGAAAATACTGATAATCACTACTGAGCGCACGCATATCCAAGCGACTAAAACATACATACAATTAAAGCTAACGATCATAATTAATGATCTTCATAACCGTAAGAGATACTCCATATGGATTACGGAAGCCTTAGAAGTGTCATTTTTTGCGTTAACCATGGACATAAAAGAAATTATAGTACAGCAAATACTTCGAGCAATCATTTAGAAAATACAGCGACACTTTCGAATGGCTCTCTGGTCTCTGGTTCGCTCATTAAATGTAAAACGACGGATCACGATGTTTTCACTCAATTTCAATGAACGTGGATAAGGTGTAATGAGGTAAATGCGGGTATTATGTAAGCGATTACTGCTTTAAGTTTCTGTGCACAACTGTTGTTTGTATAGATTACTATCGTTAAATCGTTTTAGAATATCTAATAGCGAATTTGCAATTGAATGTAGATATTTTGGTCTTGTTAAAGAAGATATAAAACGAATAGTTGATTATTAACATAGATTTAATGAGAAAATAAAATTGTGTTTTTAAGGAAAAATAAACGAAAAGGTGTAGAGAACAGTACAATGCGGAAATATGATTCAACATGAAGATTGAAGGTGTC